CAGGGGGCACAGAGACAACAAAGGTACTCGGGGGTCATTCGCTTTCCGTACAGAAGGCATCCTGCCAGCGCGTCCCGGCTGCACGAGTTTGGGTCTCACAGAAAAATTGCCGCTGGGATCCCGAGACCGAGCATACCCTCCCCAACAGGCGGTGCAGGCAGAGGACGGGTTTCCTGGGGAGGACGCGCTGGATGACTTAAACATCCCGCAGATGGCATGCTTCTGGAAATCCGTCTCAGGATTTCTGCACACACGTGTGCAACAGCCTCTCACCCAGGGCTCCCCACTGTCAACAGGAAGCCTTCTCTCGAAGCAACAGGGCCGAGGACCACACAGCACCTTGCAGAGGCCTGTGCTAGCTCCAGGGAAGGCCAGGAAACGGGGCGTTCACAGCCCAAGGTCCCATCCCAGCAGACCCTCAAGAGCATAACGCTAACAGTGTCCCCAGAGAAAGCACTAAGTCAGGAGGGGACATTAAGGACGAGGCTGCAGCAAACTGTGGGAACGTCCTTCTGGACTGGGCAGCTGTGTCTCGTCCATGAAGCACGGGGGGCCACAGTGATACACACCACCCCGCCCAAGATGTGTCCACACACGAGGAAAGCTGTCAAGACTGCACGGACCTCAGGCTTCCTCCAGCCCCGGAAAGCGGTGCGTACTTGGAAATCAAAGTGTCCGCCGCATCCCTAACCTCGGAGTCCCGAGCAGCCTGGGCTGAGGCAGCGGATTAGCGGCTGGATTTAGGAGAGGGTGGGGTGGGTTTCAGCCCCCCGCCTCTCCTGGCTGCAGAGGGAACTTGGTTTGGTTCGGACGGAAGCTGTCAGTCGTGGCCGAGACATGAAACACTCAGAAGCTGAGGGTGCGTCCCCTCCACCTGACTGTCTCTGCGGTGCCTGGGACGAGCGCGGCCACGCGGCAGGTCCCGGGGTCTCAGTGTCTCGCCACCACAGACACCGGGATGTCCCACTACCAGTGCTCCAGAGCTCGGGTATGGTGCAGAAACAAGCGTCCCAGGCCATATGGGATCGATGACAGGGACGCGGTCCCTACGGCGCCAAGAGCAGTCACGATACCACGTGGAGACAGATTTCCTCGTGGCTCACCTATGTGGTATGAGCCTTGCTCTACGTACAACACGGAATTTTCTAGAAGATGATGGGACATAGCACCCTGCAGGAACAATCATGCTCCAGAGACCAGGCTGCAGAGCAAATACGACAAGCCCACAGCGCCCTGCACCGAAGGCTGCCCACACTGTCCACGGGAGCACCTGCAGTCCGCGCCTGCACCTGCCAAAGCTCGCACGGCCCCCCACCCTCCGAGCAGACAGGCCTCGCTCCCCCCAGAAAGTTAAACCCATCCAGGGGGCTTCTCTTTCTGCTCCACATCACGACTGCCCGTTTGGTGCTGCTGGTTTTGGGGAGCTGGGGCAGGTCTGTCCCCACGCAGCTGCAGGAGCAGGAAAAGCCAGCATCCCGATGACACACTTCAAACCTGCTGGTCCTGCTGGGCCGTGGGCCCACGAGCCAGACGAACCGTGCCTCGGGCCACTTGTGCGTCCAACCCCCACAAAGCGGAGGCTGCAGACAAAACCACACTTCAATTTTCCGTCTGCTGGGAGCTCCTGGGGACAGGCCCGGCCAGGTTCCGGCCACCACCACAGGGGCTGAGTGCGTTCCGTGGGAGGGGTCCTACTCCGCTCAGTGGGCGCTCACGATGACGGTGCATGCCTGTGGACTCCTAACCATATGGGATTTCTGGCTTTTTCCGAATATATTTCTGTTCTTGGCACGGAGCCCCATCCACGGTTACCCACGTCTCATGTGCTCCACACAGGAAGGGGGACATGGAAATGAACCATCACACCCTGACTGGGGGAGCTGGGGGGTGCGGCCAGGATGCCTCATTTCCACCCAAAAGCAAGACTGAGAAAGCCCACGTGGGCAGCTCGCGTGTGCCCCATGGCCTGATTCCCGGCCTCAGCATCCCATGGACAGCAGGCCACAGACAGCGTCAGACCCACTGGAAACCATGGGTCAGTCAAGCACGGGACAGTTGCTAAAAGGTCATTTAAGAAAAAAGACCACATGTGAAAACCATTTCACTCGCTCCTCATGAGGGGCTGACAAGGTGTTACAGCCTCTTCAAAGCAGACATCAGAGGGCTGGGCAGCGATGACCACCTCATGGGGACGCGGCTTCCCCTGGGAACGGGCTGGTCTGGGACCAGACGCAGGTGGCAGTTGCACCGCAGTGGGGACGTCCTCAACGCCACCGTACTGTGCACCGTCCCGTGGTCTCTTCCACGTTATGTGACTTCAGCGCCACGAAACATCACGTGGAGGAAAGGAACATAGGAATGAATGTCCGCCAGATGCAACGTGGCTCCCCCATGGGAGGGCGTCAACCGTGCGGACAGACTGCATCGCGTCCCTGCCGAGGACGGCCGTCCGTGTGGCTGTCGATGTCGTGCTGCGTATGAAACAGGACCGACCCCAGGGGCTCCAGCGCCTCTCTCTAAGGCTGTGCCTTCCCAGTCCCGCATCCTCAGACCTCCGTGTCAGCAGGTGACATGAGTTCCCACGTGGGTACCCCTCGAGGCAGCACGCGGGCATTCGGTGCCCATGCGCCAGGCCCCAGACGAGGGCTGTGAGCGCTAGAGGAACGCACACCCTCTCGGTCGGCGGGCTGGCCCAAGTTCCCTCTCTGGACTTCCTACAGGAGGCACATGCTACTCTCAGAACAAGGCCGGAAAGCACGCCCAGAAAGGCTCCGTGTCTTCCCCGTACGCCGCGCTGCCCCCAGGGCCTGCGCTACCCCAAACCTGAGGGACCTCGCCCACAATTCCCCACCAGCCACACTGTGCACACAGCCTGCGGCTGAGCTGCCTGGGTCAGCGAGACCAACGGCGGCCCCACTGAGCGTGAGGGTGGTCCCCATGCTAGGCCTGGTCACCCCAGTGCCCCGAGATCACGTAGGACAGTACGCACCCCAGACGCGTACCAGGGCCCTCACGCGCAGCCCGTCGCCATACCTATAACAGGTCTGTCTGTGTCTGCAAAACCCCACGGTCCCCCAACGTTCGTAACCCTCCCCTCTTCTAGATCCCCAAGCGACACACATCTTTTAATTAAACGGAGCACAGTTTCCTTGCTGTAAGAATTCTTGAGCAGCTCTGGCCTCTCCCTCACAAGGGAAGATGCTGCAAGACCAGTGTCTGCACGTCTGTGTCCCCTCAAACTCCAGGCGGGATGCTCCTGCCATGGGATGGCCTTAGAAGCATCTTCTCTTGGGAGATGACTGGATCAGGAGGGTGGGGCCCCCGTGAATGGACCAGGCCCCTTCTAGGGAGACCCCGGGCGCCCCGGCCCCCTCCACCATGTGAAGACACAGAGAGAGGTCTGTGATGTAAAAGTGGGCCCGGGCCCGGGCCCGGCGTGGCCGGCACCCTGGTCTCGGGCGTCCCACGTGAGGAACAGCGTGTGTTTTCAGAAGCTGCTGGTCTGTGGTGCTGGGTTCCAGCAGCAAGAACAGACTAGAACAGGAACCAACATCCACAGCTTTGGTCTTCCTAGAAACGTCGATGTTAGGACTCACGACGTAGCATATGTGTGAGGACGTGCTGACAAGTGTCTTGCGTTTCCAGTCCTCCCATGTAAATGCCAACCAAGTGATCTCTGCTTCGGCCTCTATAAATACCAGCAGCTCCATGTGGACTTACTTTGGGCTCACCGGAACAGCCCCTGTGAGCATCAGGAAACAGGCAGAATCCCCCCACCCTTGTCCCCGCCGGGAGACGCTCCCCATGGGAAAATGCTCCCTGATGGCAGCCTCGCACTTCTGCAAAAACACGGAGACGTGTGGGTCACTGGGGCGCACGGAGTAGCTTTCCGCCCAGCAAATGCTGCCCCCAGGGATACATTGAGAACCCAGGGAATCCCACTTAGGGAGACGGGCCAATGCCTTCAGCCACCGTGATACCCTGTCCCGGGGCGGCATTTTAAACCACACCCCAGTAAAGGGTGTCTATGGAGAAACCCACAGCCAACAAGATACCACAGGCTGGGAGACGGGGCACCCTCCCCTAAGTCGGGGACAAGGTGGGTGTCCCCTCTCTTCGCTCCTGACTCTGCACTGGAGGCCTGGCTCGGGATGGAGCAAGAGAAGCAGGAGAAATAAATAAAATGCGTTCAGATTGGCGAGGAAGAAATAAGACGGCTTTTCAGACAGCAGGATCACTAATGGTAAAAACCCAAGGACCTTCTAAAAACAAAGGTCCTCTTGGAACTAGTAAGAGTTCAGCGGAATCACAGGACACAAGGTCAGTAACACAAAATGAGCCGTTTCCAAGTATTCTAACAACCGCACACTGAGAAACGGAGCTTGGTCACAATGGGAACATACGCTCCGTGGAAGGTCCTGTTCTGAGAACGAACAGACAACCTACAGACAGAGGACACTTGCGCGTCGTGTATCTGACAAGGAACGTGGGTCAGGAACGTTGTGGAAAACTCTCAGAACTTGACAGGAAGAAAACAACCCAATTAAAATATGAGCACAAGACCTGAGCAGACATGTGGCCAAAGCGGACGTACAGACAGCAAGTGAGCACGTGGGAAGGTGGTCAATGCCACCAGCCACCTGAGGTGCAAGTGACAGCCACAGTGAGAAACGCTACCCGCACGTCGGGACGGATGAAAGAGCAGTAACGAAGGACACCAAGTGTGGGTGAGGATGGCGAGCCACTCGGACAGTTCCTGGGTCTGTGTACTGAACAACTATGCCCTTGTGATGTGAAATGTTGCAACCACTCCAGGAGACATTCTGGGACTCTCTAATAAAATAAATAAGCCCTTGCCCTGTGCCCTGGTCACTGCACTCACGAGTATTCACGCCAAGGAGAAGGTGTCGCGCGCTCACGGGAGAGCTCATGCGGATGGCTATGGAGACTGTTGAAGTCTAGGATGGGGAGCTACTTCACAAGCAGATTGTCTGGCCACCATGCAGCCGCACAGGTACGATCCTGAGTGCGAGGAGCCAGTGCGGAAGGCTACCCACAGCGCAGTGCTGCTTGTTAGCCGCTCCTGGAAGGTGAACTCGGGGACTGAGAAGATGAGCAGCTGTGGCTGGAGATATAGGAATAAAAAGGGTGAGTACGGGGCGGGCTGGGGGGATGGGCTGTCATGGATCCCTGCCGTGGCGGTGCGGACACACATCTATGCAAGTTCTAGAACTCATAACAAACCGGTACACCCAAGGGCATTTTCACTGTTAACGTACGATGTAAAGACAAAGGAAGAAACGGACTTGGGCGGACTGCGGAAGACGGGCCGCTGGGTTTCAGACCACAATAAAGCGAGCGTCTCTGAGGAGTCTCGTAGCTGCCCCAACACACGTCCAAGTTACGCGTCTACGTAACTGTCACGTACTGAGTGTCCGCAGCACCGCGTCTGGGGCACGACACACATACCTTAACTACCAATCCCTCAGCGCTAAAGCCTGCTGACCGCCCTCTGAGCGCAGGCGTCGGCACCGATCCCAGATCGCGTAACACACAGCACAATAGCGAGGACGGCTGAGATACTGGGAGAATGACCAAAATGTGACCCAGGGACTCGAGGTCAGCAGCAGCTATGGGAACAATGACGCTGACGGGCTCGCTCGACACGCGCACGCCACAAATCCCCCGTTTGTAAAAAGCGCAGTGAAGGGAAAGCACAGTAAGATGAGCTGTGCCTGCGTACAAACCGGGGGAGAAATGGTTTTTTCAGGATGACGGAGCGCTGCGGGGGAGCGGAGGGAGAGAGAGAATATCAAGTAGGCTCCTACTGAGCGCAGAGCCCTGTGCAGGGCTGGATCTGGGACCCTGAGGTCACGACCTGAGCTGAACTAAGAGTCAGATGCTCCAACAACTTAGCCACCCAGGCACCCCTTGACTGCAGTGTTTTAAAAACACTTGGGGTGCCTGGTGGCTCAGTCGGTTGGGTGTCTGCCTTCAGCTTAGGTCCTGATCCCAGGGTCTTGGGGCTGAGTCCCGCATCAAGCTCCCTGCTCAGTAGGGAGCCTGCTTCTCCCTCTCCCACTGACCCTCCCCTTGCTTTCTCTCCCTGACAAATAAATAAAATCTTAAAAAAACAAAAAAGAAAGAAAACAAAGAAAAGCACTTATCTTTAACTAGACAGAGAGCACAAGTACTTTATAACTCCATCTGTCTGGGGTCCCCCATGGAGTCACCCTCACAGGGAGTAGAGAGGTGGTGGGCGCAGGGGCTGGGAGGGCCTGGCGGTTAGAGCGGGGACAGAGCTTTCCCTCTGGGAAGCTGAGAAAGTCTCACACACAGACTTGCTAAAGTCCCGTGCACAGATGGCAGTGCTGGTTGCGTGACAACGTGAATGACTTAGTATCCTAACAGGGCTTGGGACGGTCAAGTTTAGGTCGTATGTATTTTATTGCAATGAAAACCCTTTACCCCCATCAGAAAAGCGGGCTTACAAAACCCTGTTTGCGTAACGTAGAGCCAGCAAGCAAGCTGTAAAAGTGAGCAGGGGAAGCTGGACGGCAGCTCGCCAGGAAGACGTGTCCCCGTTGGGTTTGGCCCGCGCCGCTCAGACCTTTGCCCGCGCATGCCGGGCACGCGGGCTCCCGTACGCACGGGCACAATCTGCTCCCGGTGTCCTCAGGAACACAACTGAGACCGAGAGTAGCTCTGTGCACCCCTGGATTTTCAGAGTCACCACGCTCTGCATCCCACACGAGGCCCCCGAAAGCCCGAGTAGAACCCACCTGTGGTCTGCAGAGCCAGCTCGCGTTTTAGCTGGACCTGCACTGAGCACAGCCTGAGCCAGAACCTCACTGCACAGACAGCTAGAGACTCTGGGCGAGTCAGCTGGGGGCAGACGGGGACCCTCCCCCTCCCCGTCTTCTCAAGGGGCCCGCGGCCGTTCTGGGTCTCCGGCAGCTGGCGGAGCAGGCCAGGCTCCCGATTTAGAACATCTCCAGCCACTTTGCGGATGCACGGGCACCAGCTCCTGGGCACGAGTCCTCCTGCCGCCCCGTTGACTGCCAAGAAGCGTGGCCCCAACGATGTCCAAATGCAAATCACAGCTTGTAGACACCTGGCACCAGCAAAGGGCCCAGATAAACACAATATGACTCATTCAGACGGCTGTGTGTGCAGCAAGCCCTTCGCGGGAATTAACCCTCCTCCAAACTCCGGGCTGCTGCTGGAGTCAAGAAATCACTGTCATTTTAATCCAAATAAGAGCATCACGAAGATTACACTGGGCAGATAAACATAAACCAATCTGAACGTCTCCACGTCCCTAATCTCCAGCGGTATTCCCTTGCATACACAGACGAGAGAGCCAAGTCAATATTCTCTGTAAACTGCTTGGGTCTCTCCCCTTCCCGGCACTCAGGCCGCCCTCCGTTCTACTTCCCAGCCCCGACCAAGCCTGAGGACATGAGGACCAGCATCTGAGCACTGTGTACGCTTCATTAGCTCTTCCAAGCTTTACGATTCCAAGCTGGTGGGGGCCAGCAAGGACGGGGCCGAAAGCAGACTTGCTCCCCAAGTCTCCTCCTGACAGACCTGTGTCCCTCAGAGATGAGAACCAGCCGAACCTTCTCACTGCGAAACATGGGGCTGACGTCCAGTGTCAGGGCTGTCTCAGGGGAGCCCTAGAGGTCCTGGCTGTGGAGGCCCCAAATGCCCCATCAGGCCACCCCGGAAGGTTCTGGAAGTTCCCTCTGAGAAGAGCAGTCAGTGCGTTAGACCCTGGGGACGGGCCTGGAGCTGTCGTGCCGCCCGTGCACCTGCTGTCACCACGAGACCCTTCTGCACCTGCACATTCTAACCACCCCCACTCCGAGTGGGCAGGGTCAGGCTCAGGGCACCCAGAGAGCCCTCCATAGACCCTGCAGGAGCACCGGGGCCAGCCAGAAACACAGCTGCAGCCCAGGCCGCGGGATAGGCCATGCTTCTCTAAAACAGTGAGACCAGAAGCTTCATAGGACGTCTCTGAGCAGCCTGGGGCTCACGTGTGTCCCCGTCCCCACCAAGAGGGTTGTTTCCAGACCCGTGTGCACGGTGGGCCAGCCCGCCCTAGGACACCACGCCGCTTTCCTCTGTGGCCGTTATTATCTCTCAGGAACGGATCAGGACAGCCGAGGGGTGCGATAAGAGTGGGCCAGACACCCAGCAGGCCAGCCTTGGCCACGTGGAAGGGCAGGGACGGGACAGCAGGACCTGGACCCCAACCAAGGCTTTTCCCAGAAAAGATACAAGGAGGCAGAGAACCACGACTTTTGGTGAGCACACACCTCCTCCAAGCGCAAGCTGGAAGTGAGGCCTGCTCTGGAGGGGACTGAGGGACCTACCCCCGGAGTGCCCAGCAAGGCCCCGAGGCTGTCGCACAGGGCCAAGTGGTGGTGGGAATGAAGCTCAGGCCCAGGGAGGTCCCAACCAACGAGTGTGGGCTCCCCTTGTACAAGGTCCAAGCACCATCAGAACCCACGAAATGTCATGTTCCTCCAGGACAACGCTGGCCCCGTGGTATTGGGGATGAGCTGAGAGTCCTGACTGCCCATCCTGACACTGTGAGCCAACTCACACAGTACCTGCATCCTGTTGGGGGCTGAGGCACATGGGGACGTTGATGGGCCCAGTGGCTAAGTTTACATGTCAAGTTGGCTGAAACACAGTGGCCAGATATCTGGCCAAGCTATTCTAGAGGTTTCTGTGAAGGGGTTTTTTCACTGACATTAACATTTAAATCAGGAGGCTTTGAGTAAATCGCCCTCAATAATGTGTATGGGCCTCGTCTAATCAGGTGAAGGTCTCAGTAGAGAAAAGACAGACCCTTGGGGAATGGGGGTTCTGCCTCTAGGCGTTTGGGGCCTCCACCTGCTGGCCCAGCCTGCAGATTTCAGACTTGCCAGCCGCCCCGATCACGTGAGCTAACCGCTGAAAATACATCTTTCTCTGTGTGCACACGTGTACACACATCCCTGGTTGGTTCCTCCCCTGAAGAATGCTGACTACGACGTGCAAGACAGCTTCTGAGTGGCCACCTGACCTGGGCCACCCCCACGTCTGAGCAGAAACCTCACTGTGGAGAGACGGCGGATCCCTTGAGCATCCAGTGCCCCATGAAGGGCTCCAGGGAAAGCCTCATGGGTGAATGAATGGGGACTCACCACCCAGCGCGCAAAGCGTGCGGTCAGGAAGACACACTGTGTCATGTAGGACATCACAGTGAATTCTCACACATGCTTTACCTTTCCAGACAAGCGAGAGGCATGGAGGGGAGCCAGGGGTAGGGGCTGAATTTTATCATTTGGCTAAAAATACAACGAAGCGGGACGGAAACAAGTTCCACAGGCCTCCCCACAGGCAGACGCTCCTTAGTCCATGAAGGCCTTCTGGAATGCAGTCCTCGAGTCGGCTGGGCACTATTTTCCAGGAACACACATGTACACATGTGCCCACACGTCTACACACCCACAGCCAAGAACAAACACCACCAGTTCCTTTTCCTGGGCCCCACCCTTCCAGGGGCCAGGCTGACACAGCCGAAGTCCACCGGAGAGTGGCAGACGCAAGGGGCTCTGGAGCCAGGGGATTCCCCCACCCCGAGGGCCCCAGGAGGCAGGCGACAGCCCCCACTGGTCTCTAGCCTGACTGCGTCCACACCTGTTCAAGCACTTACGTGCAAACCACCTTCAAGCAGGCTGTGTTTTCCCAGAAGACGCCCCCTATACAAACACGATGTACCAAGAGAGGCAGTCAAGGACACAGTCGACAGGGAAACACTGGGATTTCCACCACTGGGTGAGGGACACGGGGCACATGGACATCACGGAGCCACGTGCGGAGTCATGGCCCAGTGCCGGGGGAACAAGCCCGGGCCCCACAGGGCATCGCCACACCTCCAGGGAACTGCCCGGGGCCCTGGCCGCGTGTACCTGTGCGCACACACGTGTGAGAGGACGGCCACAGCCCGGAGCTCAGAAATGCCATGGTCCATGGTGCACCCCCTCCCCAGGGGCGCAAGGAGGAGGTGCGCCCTTCCTTCATTCTCCACATAAGAAAAACACCGTTAAAATAAAGGAAAATTTAGTCAGCATATCTGACTTCCTGTTCACACTAAAGATTAGCCAAACACCCTTGCAGAAATGCAGCTTAAAAGAAAAGGCCCCACCGGCAGAGATAAAAACTCACATGAAAAGACAGGAGGCCCCTTCCTGTTTCCCCTCTGAGTCAATGAAAAATTATTTCCCCGAGCGGCAAGTTTCCACTGCGCTCACCTCTATAACTTCCCATGAGTGCGGAGGGCGGCCGCGGTTTCCGTGTTCCTGCTGATAAAGCCTCTGTGAGATACATCCTGCGGAGTGTGAGGGCCAACCGGCCCCAGGGCCTGCCCGCCGGGCCGCTGGCCTCCCTCCCACCCCAGGCACGGTAGCTCCCTGGCCTTTCCCTGTGCCACAAAAGGTCCCACAGCCCGTGGACACTGCCCTATTTGGAAAAAGGGTCCTTGCACGTTTAATCAGATTAACATCACAGAGTTAGGACAAGATCATCCTGGGTCATCTGCGTGGTCCCTTATTCTAGGGACAAGTGTCCTCACCAGGGACACGCAGAGGAGAGACTTAGACACAGAGGAGGCGACTGTCTGAGGTTGCAGCCAGAGACCAGGCACAAGGAAAGGGACATCTGGAGCCCCAGACACTGGGAGAGGCAGGAAGGACCCCCCACCTGCACCCCAGGTCCTCGGATGGAGCATGGTCCTGCCCAGGCCTTGATTTTGGGTTTCTGACCCTGGAAGTGGGAGAGCATCAGGTCCCCTTTCTCGAAGCCACCACATTCCCGGTGCCTTGTTGCGGCAGCCCGGGGTCACGTGTGCACACGTGAGGTGTCAGCATGCTTCCTTCGCCGCTGGTTTACCAGAAGGCAGGAAGGCCTCCCTGCTGTGCAGACCGTGAAACGTGTGGGATGAACTCAGGGTCATGTTCACAGCACCTGTTGGGGCCACACTCCACAGTTCCATCCAGCACCATGTCGCGGACCACCTGCTCCACGTGGACGGCGGGCACGGCATCTCAGTGGATTCACAACCACGGCCTTTCTCCCCACGCAGCTCCTGTTCCTGAGTTCCACGCGCCGGCCCCAGCCATGCCATAATGGCCCAGGAGGAAACCAAGCCATCCACGTGGCAGGCACGGACACTGTAGTGCATGCCCATGGTGCGGCGCAGGGCTGGGAGGGGGGCGATGCCCCATGGGACACGCAGGGGTGTGCACTGCAGAAGCCAGGCCGCACAAAAGGAAACCCAGCAGGCGGCCCGTCTGCGGAGACCGGCTGGGAGTGGCGAGCTCAGGGGCGCGGGGCCATCGGTGCTCTGGGCCCCGCACGGCTGGGCTCCGTTGGTGAGCATGTTACTAGAGTGTGCAAACATCTCCCCAAGAACGGAAGACAGGGAGAGAGGGAAGCAAGACGTGCGTGACGTGTCTGCTACAGCTGCTGTTCTGATGGTGGTGACCTTCCCTTGTATTTCAAGTCAGAAAAGGAAGTGGGGACAGGCTGCCCCCGAGCTGTGCAGGGGACCCACTGCAAAGCAGCATGGGTGGCCGGAGGGCAGGGGGCCTTAGAGGGTGGAAGCGACTAGAATGTGCTCTCTTGTCACCGCACTCACAAGGCAAGTCACCGTCCACAGGTGGCTTCTATGTCCTGCTGCCCCAGGACAGGATGCCCAGTCTGAGGTCATGTGCGGGTCACTCGGTGGGCGAAGACAACCGAGACACCACAGGCTGCGGCCACATTTGCTCCCTGAGCAGACAGGCATCTGCACCTCCGAAGGGCAGAGACCAGAGGGTGCTGACTGGCGTGGCCCCGGCTCCGACCTCCCAGGCAAGCACCCTGTGCCCCGCGGCAGCTTTGCGCCACACCCCCAGCAGACACCCTTGCAGAGGCCACTGTCTGTGCCCCGGGAGCCAGGCTCCGGCTCCTTACACGGCCCGGCGGTGAGGGGAGGCCGGCATGGGCGGCAGACGGTGAACGGGGCTGTGTTTCCCACCTGGTCCTGCTGGGAAACAGCTCTGGCCCCCACGGCTCAGCGGAAACCTGCTGCCTGGGGGGCCTCACCTGGGAGAACACTGGTGCGTGTGCCCGTGGCCTCCTCTCTCACCCGGACGGCGCTCCTTCTGGTTCGCCCTTGGTCTGGAAACACGGTGACAATGCAGAGCTGACCACCGGCTACATGACAAGACGAGCCCACTGGACGTGACACTCACCCCTCCTGCTCACGGCAGGCCCGCGCCCCAGGCTCAGGGAGTCTCAGGTGGTCACCCCAGGTGACATGGGTCTGCCTTTCCCTGAAGGCCGCGCTCCAGGACCTCAGCCCTCAGAATCTATTTTAAAAATCACATTCCCAGGGTGGTCTTGTCCACTGAGCCAGAGGACTGTGGGCGCCACATGGAACGCCCACGGGAGCCGGCAGTCTGCAGGGTCCCACAGCTGAAACCCAAGCCACTCCCTCGGGTTTCAAAGACACTCCAGCCATCCTGTTCTGCCTGTTTAGCTCAGGGACTCTGCCGTGACCCAGTTTCCCAGCCCTGTGGCCCCCGAGCAAGCAGTCCCAGTGGCTGGCGGGCCCTTGTGCTCTAGGCTCCCCCTTGTCCTGGCCACAGACAGACAGAAACCAAGGAGGAGGGCACCCCCGCATGAGAACATGAAATACATAGCTCACATCCCGCCACAGTGTGCAAACGTCCCTGCAGTGACACAGAGCCGGACGTCATGGCAGGGGGTGGGGGATTCAAACTGGGGGGTGCATAGAAACAGCTTTTAAATTAGATGCGACTGAACATATACCAAAGTATTGTATGCAGGTAGACTGCTCTACTAAGGAGATCTGCAGCTTTAGGGGTGTGTGTGTGCATCTGTGTGCACATGTGTATGTGCACACGTTCCCGGTTACCGTGTGTACGCATGCGCATGTAAGCTGTGTGTATACGTGTGTGTGCACAGGTGTTGCATGCACACATGTGCGTGTGTGCTGTGTGCACACGTGTGTGTGTGGATCGGTGTGTGCACATGTGCGTGTATGCTATGCGTGCACGTGTGCATGGGTGCTGTGTGTGCATACGTGTGTGCATGGGTACGGTGTGTGCACATGTGCGTGTATGCTATGCGTGCACGTGTGCATGGGTGCTGTGTGCGCACACGTGTGTGCATGGGTACGGTGTGCACATGTGCATGTGTGCTATGTGTGCACGTGTGCTGTGTGTGCACGTGTGTGTGCATGGGTACGGTGTGTGCACATGTGCGTGGGTGCACACACATACACACGTGTGCTGGTCACGGTATAAAATGCACATCTTATCCATGAGTCACTCTCAGGGTCTGAAAGCGGCCAGGCTTCCTAACTGCTATGAAATTTTAACATTCTAAAAAAAAATGTTTTAGAAATATTATAAATGTACTGAGATCTATACAGAATTCCACGTGCATCCCAGATCTGTGTTTGCCAACAAGGGATCTGTCACTGTCCTCTCAATCCGTGATTCCCCAGTCCCTGCCTCCTCCAGCCGCTACTGGTTGACCCCACCGCCCCCCGGGTGGGGCCGGCCCTGCTACAGTGACAGGCCAAGGTGGGGAGGAGAGCCTGCACCCACCACCGGGCCTGTGGGCCCCCCTCTCATGAGCACATCTGGCCTCCACACACTCCTGCCCTGGCCCTCACCCGTGTTGAGGGGGCGCGAGGCAGCAGCAGCCCTACTTCCCATAGCATGTTTTCCACTTAAAAGCACAACAGACAATAAAACACCCACCTGCTTGTTAAGCAAGGCAGGGAGAAGAGGCCTCAGAGAAGTCGGCCAGGCTCTCGGGATGTCCGTGTGTGTGTGTGTGTGTGTGTACATGTGTGCGTGCTCAAGAAAGTTCGGACATAGGAGACAAGCCCCATGGACCCCCCGGAAGCCACGCTGATGCCCACCAAACAGCCACGACTCCGGGACTGTGGGTGAGGGAACGAGGACAGCAAAAGATCCCTTGTTGGCAAACATGGAGTCGGGACGCACGAGGAATTAAAACCATGCTTCAGAAGGACTTAGGTGCACAGTTTTCTCAAAAGCACCGTGTACTCCTTTCCAGGTAAACACAGGCCCCTGTGGAGCCCACGGCCTCAGCGTGGAGCGGCCGGACCGCCTGCTGCACTATGCTGACTCCCTCGCACGGTCACGCTCCACACGGGGCCGTCGGGAGCCTGCTGCCCCACCCCGTGACTCCCCATCTCCGGCCCTCCCTCAGACACAAGCCTGTATCCGGGCTTTCTACCTACAAACACCGGCCAACACCCTGTCCAACAAACACCTCCCTAGACCCATGATTCCTGCGGATACACTTCTAGGCACCGAGCTACACTGGCCAGAGGCACGTACATCTTTAAAATCTTTAAAACGCCCTGACGGGCGCACTTGAGGTGCTGCCCAGGGAAAGCCTGCCTCCCTGCGGCCTCAGGTCAGAGCTCCTGGGCTCCCAGGCCCCGGCAGAGTGACCCCATGAAAGAATTTCTAATTCCCTCCATTCACATCCTCACAGGTCGTCAGGGACTCCATGCGACAGGGACAGATGCATCTGGTGAAAATAGCCATGTCATTCCTTCCCATAATGGCCTCCCCGTGCCCACCCCTGCCTTCCCAACGCATCAGTAAGGGCGCTGGGGTCGCCCCTCCAGCTGGCTCTGAGCACTCACCAATGGTCCCCCGCCTGCACAGTGCAACTCGAGGATTCCACTTACGTGATGCTCTGGGAAAGTCTGCAGGGATGGAAAATGGATCTGTAGTTGCTGGGGGTGGGGAGAAGCCTCTGGCTCCAGAGGGCACAAGGAAGTCTGCAGAGTTAAGGAAATTTTCCACATCCTGATTTGGAGGTGGTTTTAGGACTGTGCATCCGAACTCACACGGCAGGACCTCACGTGGGGTGACTTCTGCTGTAGACAGAGTTTGTCAGTAAACCGGACTTCACAACACGAACCACCACCCAGCCAAGCAGGCCTTGTCCCCTGCTCTGCTGCACCCCAGGGTCAGGCACATCCTGGGACCTCCATAGCCGTGGGCCCCACTGAGGCTGGCCGGAGCCCAACATCCCCATCGAGGTCTCCGCCTGCTGGCCTTATCCGGACAGAACCTGCATCCAGACTGAGGGCCTCATATCCTGCTCGCTTTCTCAGATCTGCCTTCTCCTGCTCTGGGACACCTGCTGGGACATCTGCTGGGTCACCTTCTGGGACACTTGCTGGGACACCTGCTGGGACACCAGGAAGTATAGCCCAACCTCTCCCTCAACCTTGAAGGTTCTCAGGTCTGGCTGCAGGTTACAATGACCTGAGCAGCTTGTCAGAACCACTGGTGTGTGGCTTCCCTCCCGCGCAGAGCCCGGAGTTGACTGGGTGGCTGGGGGCCGGGCACTGTAAGACTCCAGGCTCAGAAGGAAGGAGGGAACATCATGCAGATTCCGCAGACGTTAAGAGTGTATTAGAAGAATATTATGAGGCAACTTCATTCCAACAGGGTTGACACCTCAGAGGAAATGGACAGATTCCTTGAAACACACAGAACACCAGGATCAACCTACAGAGAAATTTAGCAGCCCCATGTCAAGACATTGAATTCGTACTTGAAAGCCTCCCCATAAAGAACACCCCAGATGGCTTCACTAGTAAATTTGATCACACACGTAAGGAAGAAACAACACCGCTCCCACACAAGCTCTCTTTAAAAAAAAATAATAATAAAAGGGCGCCTGGGTGGCTCAGTCAGTTAAGCATCTGACTCTTGGTTTCAGCTCAGGTCATGATCTCAAGGTTGTGGGATCAAGCGCCGTGTCAGCCTCCGCACTCAGCGCAGAGCCCGCTTGAGATTCTTCCTCGCCCCGTCCCTCCCCCTGCTCACATGCTCGCATGCGCATTCTCTCTAAATTAAGTAAATAAATCTTTAAAAAAATAATAAATAAATGAAGAAGGAATACTTCCCAAATCACTGTGTGGGGCCAACGTTGCCCTGATACTGAAAGCAGACAGGTATTACAAGACCACAATAATCCTCATGAATATAGTTATAAATGTCCTTGGCAAAACTGCAGTAAATTAAATCCAGCAATATGTAGGACAAATAATACTTCAGGGCCATCTGGAGTTTGTGCCAGGAATGTGAGGTTCTTTAACATGAAAAAGATAATCAACATAATTCTTTTTTATGAAAAAAATCATACAATCATCTCCATAGATACAGAAAAAGCATATGACAAAGTTCAACGTCCATTTAAGACAAAAACTTGCAGCAAATGTGACACCTCCCTTGCCCTCATCAAAGGGATCCAGACAAGATCTTCACCTAACACCGTATTTCATGAAAAAGCATTAAGTTCTTTCTTCCTATGATGGGAACAGGCAGGAATGTCCACTTTCACCACTTCCGTGAAACATTATGCTAAAGGTCCTAGACAGGAGAAAAAGAAGAGAAGAAACAGACAGCATTCCGATTGGAAAGAAGAAGTAAATGGTCCCTACTCATAACTCTCAGAGTCATCTATGTATAAAATCTTAAGAGACTACAGGAAAAGCTACTCAAACAAATAAGTAAACTTAAAAAGGTCACGGGATAAACAAGCAATAAAAAAATCAACTATAAACACTTGCAATAAACTGCAAAATAAAACTTTAAGAAATCCATTCATAACAACATTCAAAACCATGAACTACTTATGAATACATCCAACGGACACACACAAAACCTGTACGGGGGCCTCTGCAAGTCACCGCTAGGAGACACGGGGAAGATGGACAAGGATGGGGGGATGGCCCATGCTTGCTGGCTAGGAGACTCCGTGTGGTGAAGTCGTCAAGTCTTCCCAAAATGATTTAAAGAGTTGATGTGATCCCAGTCAGAACCCAAGCAAGTGTTTTTACAGAAGTTGACAAGTAGATTTTAAATTCCCATGGAAATGCAAAGGGTCTACACTAGACAAAACCATCTCGGAAACAGAGCTCAACTGGGAGGCTCCCGCTACCTAACTTCAAGACTTTTCATAAGGCAACAGCCACAGAGACGCCGCGGTTGGGGGGCTGACGAGGAATAATACAGACCCGAACCAAGCCCAGAAACAAAGCCGCACCGATGAGCTCGGGTACTTTCCAAATACGGTGCCAAGAGAGGCCAGCGGGAAGGATCGTGTCTTTAAACAAGATGGTCTTGGGACTGATCACGCAATACGGAAAACAAGGAACCTCAATCCTAGGCACTTTCTAGTTAAAAGCAAACTCAAAATGGACAAGAGATCTCAGCATAAGGGATAAAACCATAATGTTTTCAGGAGAAAATCTCCATGACAATAGGCCTTAGGCAAGGATTCTGTGAATAAGACCCAAAAAGCACAAACTGCTAAAAACAGTTGATAAAACGGGATTTAATCAGAACCGGAAACATCTGCCCTTTGAAGATGTCATTAATAAAGTAAAACGGCGAGCCACAGACAGGGAAAATAATTGCGATACACAAGTCGGACAAGGGACCTGAATCCACAACATGGGACTAGCTCTCAGAACCCAAACGGAAGAAGACAGCCCCACTCAGACATGGGCAGAAGACGTGAACCGGTCCTTCACAGAGTATTTTCACATAAACCCAGGAAAAGCTGCCCAACTCGAGGATACAGCAGATAAAATGCATCAGAAGAGCTAAAAATAAGGACGGTGACAGCAAGTGTCAGGAGGCTTGGGAAACCGTCTTTCACACGTCAGCACGGGGACAGAAAGTGATCCAAGCTCTGTGGCAACAGGCTGCCAGTTTCTTAAAAGGTTAAATAATAGACGCTTGCAGCATACCCTACAGGCGCACTCGCTGGCAGCTACCCAGGAGGAGGAGAGCCCACGTCCACACCGAGATGTGCACACGGACACACACGCTTTATACTACTTTTTGTCATAAAGCACACACAAGGCAACATTTACCACGTTCAATTGTACCATGCGGAGACACAAAGGACAGGCCTAGCACTGTGGAACCATGACCAGGACGCAACTCCAGAGCCCTTTCTTCAGCCCAGAAGGAAACCCCGCACACATGAACCCCCCCGTCCATGCCCCCAACTCCCCATCTCACGGACATGCTGATTCCGGACACTTCCCGTAAATGGAATCACACCACACATCCCTGTCTATGCCTCTGTTCACTCAGCACAATGTTTCCCAGGCTTCATCCCTGCGTGGCGGGACACGTCCACCAGGCCACGCATCCACTGAACCGCATGGCTCCCATTCCGTGGCTGTCCCCGGCAGCCCATCTGAACAGTCCCACACAGCTTCCAGCTCGAACGCCTGTCTTTTGCTCTTCTGGGCAGATCCCGCAGGGTGGAACTGCTGGGTCCCCGGGCCACCCTACACTGAGCTCCTCGAGGACTCTCCATCCTGCGCGACGTCCCCTTCCCACCAGCAGGGCAGCGGGCTCTCATTCCTCACATGCTCCCCAACCGTCTTTCTGGGCCAGAGCCCGTCTGGTGTGTGGGAAGCAGTATCTCATCGTGGTTTTGCTCCCTGCTTGCCTGGTGACTGATGATGGTGACTGTCCTACCCTGGGCCTCTCCATCCTCTCTGCGTCTTCTTGGAGGCGAGGCCATGTAGCCCAGGGCACTTTTATTCCCAACATTGCCCAACAGGTGCACGAATCATTAAACCCCGGGACACCCAACCGTTCAACAGAACTCAGCCCTAACAGACGCGGAGTCCCCCCCACAACAACAGTGAGACTCTCAAAACCACCGCGCTGTGTGGGAGCAGCTGGGCCCATGGTCCGCGGACAGGCCTCCTTCTGAAACTCTTGAGGAAACGCCTCGGTCGACCACAGTGTAATCTCAACAGGGCACTGCGCGGGGGGCTGAGTGCAAAAGGCAGGAGGGAACCTGGGGAGTGCTCACAGGCCCAGGGGTCTGGGTCGCCCCCAGGCAACCCTGCCGTGAGAGCGCCAAGCCCCCTGGCATGTGGCATGTCCGTGAATGGCTGCGTGGGTGTGGCACGTCCAACCCCAGGGCTGACGGCGGACGCCAGGCCTGTGTCACCATGACGGTGACAGCCGCGTGCCTGTGCCCTTTTCTCGAAACACCCCGCGTGCCCTGAAAACGAGACTACTGCTCTGTGACAATCACACCTCATTAGAGCTGGTGAAGGGAGAGCCTTCCCAGACCTGCTCTCAGTTGGCGGTCAGGTGCCCTGGGACGAAGTCGCTGTCCTAGACGAGACCCAGGTCCTCACTGGTGGCCAGGGCCCACCTGCAGGAGATCCCAGGTCACACCTGGAGGGAACACTCATGGTCCCCCTGCGGCCACACCGACCCCAGGACGGGGCCCCACTTCCAGACTCGGTTTCTGGCCAGACCCCCCCACAGTGGACCTGTCCCTCTCCCTTCTCCAGCCCGGCGCAGCCCACCCTGCCAAGGCACCCGGGAGACAGCTGTCCAGCCACCTCCCCCACTTGGCCCTGTGCGCACCCCTGAGCTCCTGCCCCTGCTCACAGACATGGTGTCACCCGCTTCCACAGCGCCCTCTGGCTTCCCAGCCCCTCCTGTGCGTGTGGGGGGGGTGTGGGGGTTGTCGGGGGAGTGGTGTAGGGGGGTGGGAGTGTGGGGGGGTGGGGGGGTGGGGGTGTGGGGGGTGGGGGGTGCACAGAACAGGGGCCGCAACCCCCCTCCCGCCTCCTGAACTCTTGGCTGGCCACTCCCCCAGGCGCCCTCAGGTCCCCAGTCTCGTCCAGGGTGCGGGGGTCAGCTCTCAGCCCTCACCACACGGACCCCTCGGCTGCCCCACTCTCCCCACTCCCTGGCCGCCGCTCAGGGTCCCTCCGCGTGTCCTGTCCTCCCCCTACCTCTGGTGTCCCGGGCTGGCTTCATCCCTGGGGGCGTCCGCGTGGCTCTGTGGCTTGAGGGTCTGACCCGAGGGTTCAGCTCAGGCCAGGGTCTGCGGGTCGCGGGGCCGGGCCCCGCGGCGGGCTTCCCGCTCAGCGCTCGCGGGCGACGCTCTCTCCGCCCCGCCCCTCCGCGCCCACGCATGCGTGCTCGTGCGCTCGCGCCAGAACGTCGGGTAATAGCGGGAACCGGCAGACAGACCAGCGCTCCACGGCTGCCCCCGCGGCGGGCCACACCCCGCCGCGGCGCCCACCAGCTCCTCGCGCCTGCTCGGGTCACAGGCACGACCTGGACCGTGACCGTCCTCGCGGCGGCCCCACCTCCGGACGACGCCAGGGCACCCCTCGGGTCGCCGAGCCCAGAGTCCGGGGGCCCCCCGGCCTCCTCCGTTGCTGCCCCTCCGTGAGCGCCACGGTCCCCGCACGCGGGGAAGCGGCCCGCACCCCCGCGGCGCCCCACCCCGCACCTGCGGATCCCAAGCAGCCCACGACGGCCCCACGGCCGCGCCAGAGCTGACTGCTTTCCCCGTCGCGTGCCTGCCCTCTCCCGCCGGTGCCCGAAGGGGAGGGCACAGCCGCCCCCGCAAACACACAGGGCTGCCACCGACTCCCCCGAAGGCTGGATCCAGACAAACTCTACTCGGCCGAGTAAAGCTTCCAGAACGTCTTGCACTAGGAAAATGGGGGGAAACCCTTAGGGTCCCAGGCAATTGGTGCTCTCCGCTTCGCAGACTCACGGTTTTTACGCTTTTTAGTGAGTGTGGCTGGAGGTTACTTAACATACCCGCTACTAAGTGAAAAGAAAAACAAAGGAACCACCAAAAATGAGCGGAACTGCCCACAGGTGGCTGGCCCCCGCCCAACGTGGGAACCTGCCAGCACAGGCTCCGACGAGGCTTGTGTTTGCTGCTGGGCCGTAGAGGGGGACATGCTTCTCCCCCTGAGCCAGGACCGGGGTGGGTGGTGCTGAGGTCCCCTTGCCTCAGGCCCCAGCAGAGCACAAACCTCTGCCGAGCTCTGGCAACCCCGGACGACTCGCGGCGCTCAAGGCTCAGGGTCTGGGGCTGGTCTCCCCAGCTGCTGAGAAGAAGGCACCCATGTCTGTCTCTTCACAGTCCACAGAGCACTTATTCAGAGGCCGATGACCTCTGACTCACGAGAGCCTCATGTAAACCACACCATCCCCCTTACATTGTGCAGGAACACGGATCTCTACACATCAAGTCCCCTTTATAATGAATTTAGATTTAGAGAGGCGCTTGGGGGGCTCAGTGGGTAAAGCCTCTGCCTTCGGCTCAGGTCATGGTCTCAGGGCCCTGGGATCCAGCCCCGCATCAGGAATCTCTGCTCAGCAGGGAGCCTACTTCCCCACCCACCCCCACTTGTGATCTCTGTCTGTCAAGTAAATAAATAAAATCTTAAAATTTAGACTTAGAAAACTGGAACATCTAGAACAGGATATTATATTACCTAATGGAGACACCCTTCTTAAAAATTAATTTTTAGACTGAAAAAACAGTTCCATTATAAAAGCAACTAACTGAACAGAAGCACATAGAAGGGGAAAAAGTAGAAGTTCCCCTTCCTCTTTCATCCCTTCCCTGTGCTTCCCCCAATGCACAATGCGTCCTTCCTCCTCCAACACACACGCACACACTCATGCACACACATGTACGCATGCATGGACACACACACAGCACATACACACACTTGCAGACATATGCAGGACACACACCCAGATACACAGCACTCACACACACATACGTACACGCACACATGTGCACACGCACACACGGACACAAGGCACAGCACGCACACTCATACATGCACACACATGCACAGCACGCACGCAGCATGCGCACATAGCACTCGTGCACACCCATGCATACGTATGCACACATGTGCACACACATACACAGCACGTGCATGCACACACACACATGCACACACACACACATACACACACTCCTGCCCTGGGGCCTGGAGCAGCTCCCGCTGTCCACAGCAGGCCCTCCACAATTATCTGTTCAACAGACACTGTGTGCCTGTCCAGGTTGCTTCGGACATGTGCGCACACGAAAACCGGCTCCTTCTATGGGTTCTCCACAAAGAAGTGCAGCTCCACTTCATGTGTCGGCACTTCTTTTGAAGGAAGCCTCTCTCCACACTGTGCCTTGAACTGAGGGACCTCTGGTGTGTTTCTAGGAGGGGACATGCGGTTCTTAGTTTCCGATTAACTTTACTATGGAGAATTTTGAAAATAAAGGGAAGTGAACAGAACCGAATACAGAGGGTTAACAAGGTACCTTCCCTCAGACCCTACCAGCACCACCCCCATAAGGCCTCCCCTCCCCACCTCCCCACCTCCCCCTGTGCTGCTCAGAAACAGACCCCAAATGCCTTCTCACTTCCTCTCTACACACTCCCGTGTCCACAGCTCATGGGTCATGTCATCAACTGTCTCATAAATACCATAATTTTTTAAATGAACAATTCTTGAGTCAAATCAGGTGCTGGTCTGACTGCATTTTGTCCAGAGCCTGCAATCCCAGGGAGCTCCTAAGAAGTGACCCAGGCAGAGGGTGCAGTCTGTGCTCTCCTGGACAGCATCTGAGACTCAGACCGCAGGAGGGACCCCTTCCCGTGGCAGGTGCACACAGGCCTCAGATGAGCCAGGCCGCTGCAAAGCCCCGGAGAGGCAGCAGGCGCAGAGAGCCGGCCCTGGCATGGCGCTCTGGGAGGGTCAGGCAAACTGAAGGTGAGCTGTTCGAGGAGCTGGGATGGGCCATCTGCTCAGCCCCCAGATCACCTTAATTGTTGTGTGGACAAACGCCACCCCTGCTCGAGGCGAGGCCACGCGCCCTCCCGAATCAACAGTTATTTCCTCCTAGTTAGTCCTGGTTTCCCCGTGTTACTCCCACCAACAGCGGGCAGCCTGGAAATTGCTGCGAGCTGAGCCCTGGTTCCAGTGCCAAGGAGCCTGCCTGACCGGCCCTGCACTCAGCCGACGCCCCAAGACGTCCCGAGACATCCCCAGACGGCCACAGCCTGGTGGTGCGGGGGAGCTGTGGCGGCTGCCAGAGGGGAGGGCCCGGAGGCCTGGGCCTGTCTACACTGGGTGTGGGAGAGGCAGAGGACCTGATCTTTGCAATGCGTTATTGATTTTGTTATGCACTGGCACCGGAGCTGGCCATTAGCGTGCACTCCCAAGACTGGCCAAGACATCCCTGCCTGGTGTGGGAAAGGCTCTCGAGAGGAAATCAGCCTCAGATAACCCACATGGTGGGGATCTCAAGTGAATGATGTCATTAAGGTTCATCTCCCTGCTTCCCCTAACCCCCCACCCCACCCCAGAGCCACTGGTCAGCTGTGCACCCCACACCCCAGCTCGGGTGTGTGCACTGCCTGCCGGGGCCTGAGCCAGGCCAGCAGCCCACCCCAGTCCCCAGGGGAGGGGGCTCGGCAAAGCCGCCTTTCCCAACAGACGTGTGCTGGTCTGGGCAGAGGGTGGGCAGAGGAACTCCACAGTACTATTTCGGAGGCAGACAAACAGATGGCAAAGCCCATCATGGGGAGTCAGCCACTCCCCCCACCCCAGTTCGTGGTCCTGCAAGGAGGGACCGAGCAGAGCTTCCTCTCAGTGTCACCGATTAGCTTTCCTTCTTTTCATTCCCCTGCTGGGTGTACCGCAGACCCTTCCAGCCTGAAGTGAGGGTCTGGCTCCCCGAGAGCCAGTCCTTGGCCACAGATACAGCCAGTGAGGCCCTCCCCACGCCCTCGTTCCCGAGGCTGACCCCTGGTAGCACACGGTGCCGGGGGTACTCAGAGCAGGCTGGCTTTATGCTTCTCTGTTTTTGCAGACAATCTGCACAGACACCAACCGTTCCAGGGACAATTGGGGCATTATCTCCACCAGAATCCTGGCCCCAGCGCCGGCTGAGGCCGCCTGTTTCTGGGACACAGTAAACACTCGCAAATAACAGTGCCCAGGACGCCAGCAGCTGGCCCTGGGCTGGGGGCAGATATGAGGTGACGGCCCACGATGTCACCTCACCGGCGGCAAAGGAAACTTCCGCTCCATGGCGCCCGGTGGACCTGAATAGACTCAGAACAGGAGGGCCGGCTGCTTGGCCACAAGCCCCAGGTCCGGCCTGGCTTGCAGCGGCCTGGCCACCCCGGCCCTGGCTATGCTCAAGGTAAGGGCAGGCTTTTTAAAAACAAAAACAGAGCAACTTCAGGAGACACAGGACTGGCCAGCAGGGCCCAGCCCTTGACAACAGGCCTTATTTTCCGTAAACTGCCCACCTACAGACTCACGTGCATCCCCCCAACCCCAGCACTAAATCCAATAAACCAAGAGAAGGACCGCCACCCAACTCTCCTGTTCCTGGCAAGGAACAGTGTGTGCACTGGCAAAACCCCGGTGGCTTCAGCTCCGCGCCGCTCAGCAGGCGGCCGCAACAGGTGCAGCCCCAGCTAAGGCGGTTCAGTCTCCTTGGCTGCTCCGGAATCACGCAGCCGAAAGAAACCCTGAAGGAAGCCGAGGCCTGCAGCACTCCGCGCCAGGGCCCTGACCTGCCCCACCTGTCTGAGTGCGCGCCTCCGCTCCGGCGCACGGTGGCGGCGGCCTCCGGACCAAAATAGAAGCCCGCGGAGCCCTGCCAGGCCCAAGTGGCCGGAGCCGGCTGGGGCCCAGCGGCCAGGGGCGCGGCGGGCCTGGTCAGAGCGCCGCCCCCCGCTCGCAGACGGGATCGGCTGCGCGCCCTGCGCCCCCAGGACCACCTGCGCGCCGGGCCTGAGGGGTGCTCTGGAGGGGAGGGGTCCCGAAGGTACTGGGAGGGGCCCGGGGGCTCCCAGGAGGATACGCCGGGAGGATCCAAGGAGGGGACTCCTAGAGGGTCCAGGGGTCCGGGGAGGAGTCGGTGGGGGGTGTCCGGGGCGGAGACTCCGGGAGGGTCTGGCAGGGTGGAGGCTCCGGGGACCTACTGGGGACCCGGGGCGTCCGGGAGGGTCCGGCCGCCCCAGCGCACCTGCCAGGCCCGCGCGCTCCCGCCGTCCGCCGGCCCTTACCTGGCGTGGCGCGTCCTGGCCGCGCGTCCCGGCACTGCCCGGCCCCGTGAGCGCGGGCGCAGGAATGGCGGCGGCGGCGGCGGCAGCGGCGGCGGGCGGGGCGACGGCTGCGGGCCGGCTCGGGCCGGGCTCGGAGGGCGTTGAGGCCCGGCGGCGCGGGGATGCTGCGGCGCGCGAGGGCGCGGAGGCCGGCGCGGGAGGGAGGACGCGGGGCGGCGCGCAGGCCCCTCCTCTGCTCCCGCCTCCCCTTCCCGCCGCCTCCTCCTCCCCGCCCGACCCTCGGTCAGACTCCTCCTCCCCCACGTCTCATTCCCTCCCCTTTGCCCTTCCCTTTCTTCACCTTCCTCCACTACGCCTCTCCCTCTGCCCGCCTCCCCGCTTTCCCTCCCTCGGCCTCTACCCACAGGGCCTCAGAGGTTGCCCCCTGCCCTGGCAGGGCCTTGCTGGGTCCGGCACCGATTCCATGAAGGACCTAGTTACCGCCCTTCCTCACCACCTGCTAAGGGACCAGCTTGCCCTTCCTGGGAGCCTGGCCGACTGCAACCTTTCGGGGCCCCCAGATCTCCAAGGTCTCCTGCACCCCTAGGCTCCTTTGCCGGCTCTGCTGGGAACCTGCCCAGCACAAATGTGTGGACAGACCGTGTGGGCTCTCAGGATGGTTGCTCCTTTCCTTCTTAGTAAATCTGACTTCAGGCCAGAACATTCCAAACAGACCTCCTGCCTTTTCCCAGAGTGCGGTGGGCAGGTACCTAGCCCAGTCTAGGTTTGTCTAAGCCCTTCTGGGCCTCCACGCCAAGTGTTTGACAAGTGTTCGCTGTCTTCTACACCAAATGGCAAAACATTCCCCAGTGCGGTCCCTGGTGACCCGTTTGTACTAACGCAGGGTGTGAGGGGCCCTGGGTCTCCTCCCAAGACCACTCCCTTCGTGCTCTGGACCTTGCGAAGGTGGCCGGTTGGGCCAGCAGGCCTGCTGAGGGGTGCTCCCCAGAGAAAGGAACAGAGTTCCCCGTGAACCAGTGGGGCTATGCCCCGTGTAGGAGTCGAGGCTCCCTCTCTGGGCCTGGCCCTCATGGCCTGGGCCGCAGCACCCTCCAAGGGAACCCGGACTGCTTTCCTGGGGACCACTGCTGCTGAGAGCCAGAGTAGGAGTCTAAGAATGGAGACTTTCCTAACTGGTCCATAACAGCTCAGGAGCCTCAGTCCCCTTTGTGGGCTCTTGCCTTTCCCCACTGGAGCCCCACAAGCCAGACCTCAGGACCCACAAGGGCCAAGACAGGGGAGCTAGTGCTCTCCTTGTGTATGCTGGTGGTGGGGGTCATGACCTGGAATCTCGGAGGCTCCAGTTCCTCTTGCCTTCCCTGTTTCCAAGGTGACCTTGGGAGCCCCATCCTGCTTCCCCAAGGAGAGAGGATAAGGTACTGGCTCCGAGCGTGGCTGGGCATGGCCGAGAGAATGGTGGGTATCTCTCCGGCGCTGTGTGGCCCAAGTTTGGAACTGATGACTGTATAGGAAAGTGGGGAGACATCCTTTCCAAGCTCCTTCTGGTCAGAGGAGCCATGACTCTGGTTTCCCATCGCATTGGGATTAAAACCTGGTGCGAAAAGATTAGGGCAGGGCTGTTTTCACATTATCCCAAGCCCCAGAGCAGGGACCCACTCTCATGATCCAGACTTGTGAGCATTGCAGAGGTGGTGGGGGGGATGCTCCCCTTTATTCCTGACTCACTGGACCCCCCTGGAACACGGTGCCCTTGCCTGGTGCCCGAGGACAGCCACAGCAGGCCATGGGAGGGTGGTCGACACATCAGGAGACGTCAGCCTGAAAAATGGGTGTGTGTGGAGTGCAAGATGGTCGGATCCAAATATTTGCAAAACTGTCTGGGAAGAAGGATTACCCTGTGGGGTTGTGAAGGGCAGAAGGAGGACAGATGGGGGGAAATCAGACTGGAGAGTAGATTTCCGCTCCCTGGGAGCACTTTCTGGCAGACCCGCCTGCCTGAGGAGCGGCCGCCCCAGGAGGAGCGTGTCCTTCAGAGCCAGTGTCTAGACAGGTCCTGGGGCCACCACAGGAGCTTGCTGCAGGGGCCTGTACCGGGGTGACCTCAGGAGCCTCTCCCAGCTGCTAGACCCACGCCCTGCACTCCGTTCCACTCCCTCTGAGGGGCAGAGGGCGGCCCAGCAAGCAGAGACTTGCTAGTGCCCAGACTTGGAGCCTCAGCCCCTCACACCCTGACCCTGGCCGGCCTGTTTGCTTCTTCGAGAAAAGGCAAAGGGGCGGCTTCAAGGTGACTGCCGCTTGCTTCCCATCCCCCAGCTCCTGCAAGGCTTTCTGTCCCTGAGGCCTCCCCGGGCCACACCAAGTGACCCACGTTGTCTCTTCGTTCTTGTTGTCACCAGTTTCCATTCCATTGTGGGACATCTTAGCACGTAGGTCAGAGCGGTCCTGTGAGCCCAGGGAGCAGGATGGCAGTCTTGTGTCACCTCTGACCCACCTCTGTGCCCCCCCATGCTAATCTGACACACATCAGTGACAGCTCCTCCCCTAGTCTGTCCTGGAGCGTCTCCAGAAATGCAGAGTGATTGGGTTCCTAAGTCACGCTTCGCGCGGGGTGTCTTTGAAGGTCTCCAACACCGTCTCTGTGCCTTGTGCACGGGCAAGATAATCGCACAGATGGTATTAGATCCACGACGTGGGGAGTCTCCGTGCGGCAGCCCGGGTGCCACGGGCTCTGCTCAGCTTCTGCCCTCGCTGCGCGGACTCGAGGAGGGACACCCACTTCTCCATCTCCGTGCCTCCCCGGGCCATCAGAACATGGACGCAGTTGGCTGGGAGCGGCTTTAAGGCAATCCTGCAGGGAGTGCTTGAGGCCCGGAGGAAGTGTTTTCTAGAAGAGCTGGTGCACTGCCTTCCACAGGCTCTAGGAGGTACAGCCCCAGCCCGCGCCTTAGCATGCGGGCTGTCGAGCAAAGGGAGGCAGCAGCCCCTGCAGAAACAGGCCCTCAGGGGCCGAGGCAAAGTCTGGGAAGCCCAAGCCCAATTCTGGGCAGAGGTCTTCTGAATGTGACCCCAAAGTACATGATTGCCCCCCAGCCGGTCACGGGTCCGTCCCCTGCCCCAGACAAGGCCCGCCTCCTGGCAGCCCCCCCTCCCCCATCAGAGCACCCTCTTCAGGGCCCTCCTGGGAGCACACCGGATGGAAAGGCTCTTTTCTAGAAGGCTGCATTCCAGCAGTGGCTTATAAATGAAGGCCTTGCTGAGCCATCACCATTGTTCCCAGCGCCCCATAGTGTTTTAGCTGTCAGACCACTAAGCGCAAACTTCCTCTGGAGTATAATCTAGCCTTCATGCTCTTTCCCAACTCCCCGAAGCTCCCATTCCAGCTGAGCCGGCCTGCCTTTGTCGAGCGCACACGCACGCGGAGGGCGAACCTTCCCCAGAGCAGGGCTGGCAGCAGCCGCCCAGTGCTTCCCCAGCTGGAACCAGGGGAGAGTGGAAATCGGGGACAGCGGGACAGACCACTGGCGTGCTGCCCTAGCTGACCATTAGCTTCCCCAGAGCTGGTGTCCTCAGTTGACCTGCACCAGTAAGGCCTTCCCGGTGCTCCCACCCCCCATCCACCTACCCCACCAGCCGCTGAGCCGTGACACTTCCCTAAGCCCTGCCTCCTGGCAAGGCTGGTCAGGCATTACCTCCCACCCAGACTGGCCCCTGCAGTGTTTTTCCAGCCTGACCCACGCCAGGGGCAGACAGAGCGCCCCTCCCCCGGCCACGTCGCCTTGCACACCTGTGGGCCACAGCCCACACGAGGGGCGTAACTGTTGCTCCCAGGTTCGTTCCCTTTCAACCTTGTCTTTGTTTTCAGCGTCTAGAGCTTAGTGACCTCCATTGACCTCTTTCCAGAATAATGGTTTTAAACATATAAAATAAAGCATGGGATTAGAAAGCAAACCTGTTCTACTGAACTCCGGTGGTCAGAATCGGTTAAACTGTGATCTATTTGCTCCTTTGTTTACATGTTGAGTAACACACTGGAGCAGCGGGTCTGATAACCAGCAATTTGGAAGCGGGAGCGAGCTGCCTGGTGTTTTGAGATGCGGGTGTATCTGTGTTTTCTGCCGGCGGGCAGGTCACAGATCCTGCTGACGGGGCTGGGCTCTGTTGCCTCACTGACACTTGAAGGAAATGCTGAATTTCAGGTCGAGGCTAGTGGGGGGTGAAAATCTTGCTCCTTTTCCCCATCCATTCCATCTAGATGGAACCTCCAATGTCTCCCCAGTTTATGAATGACTGTTTTAAAGTGTATCCCTGGACTTGAGATCCCCTGCACTTAGCACAGTGCTTATGGAAAATCACTCCCAAACATGTTTATTTTATTATTAATGGAGGGGTTGGGGCTCTCAGTTGCAAATGATGGAAGTTCATCTACAATCTTGGCTCACTTAGCTCTAGAGGGACTGCAGGTATAGCCAGATCCAGGGTCTGAGAAGCCATTGTTGGTCTTCCTCTTCTCTTGACTCTGCTTGCCTTCGGTTCTGCTTGCATGTGGGTTTCACTCTCCTGACACAATCCACAGGAGCTCTTTCTCACCGTACTGAGCCTCCTGGAAGGACTTGGGTGGGGTCTCATGCCCAACCCATGAACTTATAACCCTGAACAGGCCGGGGAGCCAAGACCGGTCAGACCTGGGCCACCTGCCCATGCTTGTGTTGTCGGGGTGTGGTCCCGCATCTTGAAGAACCTCAGGGCTGGGTGGGAGCCGGGCCCTGGTGAGCAGATGGTCCTGAGCAGACGCGACCCGCAGACCGGCACGTGTCCAGCGGTGTTAGGGCCAGAGGGCAAATGTGTAATCACAGCACATTCCTTTGGAGGCACGGTTTCCTGCCATAATAAGGAGACCTAAAATACAGTGGCTTACCCAAGGTAGCCGTCTATTTACTTCGTATTTAACACCACCTGTGGTAGCCAGGTAGACTGTCCGTGGCCAGCGTCACCATGCTCCACCTGCAGGGACGAGGGCCACGCTCACAGGCTCAGCGGGACAGGAAGGGGCACACACCAGCTCTGTCCCATACGTCGGCCAGAACTTGGTATGGGAGCTGTG